ACACCTACTCAACCTAGAAGTGTGTGCTTCTTTTTAGTGCTTATTATTGTTCTCATGGCGACCATACTAATGCTCATGGCGTTAGTTAGCAGAAGGCCAGTATAGACCTCATAAAACCAACTTCAAGTCCATCTTAAAGGACAGAGAACAAGAATCCATTGGTCGATGTGATTGCTCGTATATCCCTTAATTGAAGTCCTTTTAAATTGTGCCAGTTTTGAAGGATTTATTTGCATATTGACTCGTAAATGTGCCATTTTATTTGTTTTTTACGACCGCTGTATTCGTCTACCTGTATTGTCTGTGTTTTATCTGTTGCAACAGTGTTCATGCTGCCCTTCTTGGCCAGGTCGCTCTTGAGAAAGAGAATTTAATCTCAATGAGACTTTTTACCTGGTTAAATAAAGGATATATATGTTCGAGCTTTTCATAGTTTTTTTCCACTTAATTGTCCAAAGAAAATAACACCTAAAAGAAAACATTAGATTCTTTACTGTTTTTAGATGAAGACTCATAAAAAGTGTTTTTACCAGCTGTACACTAAGGGGTTGTTTTTCCTTTAGTGTGGTAGCTTGTTCACTTTAAGGCCTCTCTGGTTTTGGGGACCTCCATGTGCCTCGAGTCTTCGCTCTGTGGTTAAAACTTACAAGCTCGGCAAACGGCCTCTAAACAAACCGTGACATTTTCATGCATATTTAACAGCGGAGTCACTGAGCAGCCACGGATTTGGGCCCCGATTTGTGGAAAAAAGGGGTTTGTTTTGCAGACTGCACTGACCTGAACTTCTGGAGGCTCTTGGTAAAAAAAAAAATTAAAAAAAAAAGGGGGGGGATGGTACATAGGAAAGAAAGAAAGAGGAGAAGGAGACGCAAGCTGGGGAACACGGGGGGGAAAAGCTCCACATACCACAACTCCCAGAACTCAGACATGCATTTGTTTTTTTGAAGACCTCATAATACATCCAGCTGCCAAACAGCATTCCTCGACACATGCAGACAAAGAAAAATCCTATTACAGTCACAAACGCATCACATTGTTGACGACAGGCTGAATTAGCAGCAATTATTGCAAGCTAAGTCTTAACAAGTATAATTTATGCATGCACAGAACTTCTGCCAAAATAAAACATGGGAGAAAAGCAGCGCAGTAGTCTCAATCAATAACTCATGGCATAGTGGTAACGTCTGTTGCAGATTAACTCAACTAAAAAGGTAACAAGGTTTCGATTACTTGACTTTAAATCAGATTTCAATTATATTTTTCACTATTTTGTTCGTACAAACTCTGTTTAGCATTTATTTGACCACTCTCTGCTTTGGTGAACACTCCCATAGAAGTGTAAAACACATTACATTTATAGACACATTACATAACTGTCTCTGTGCATTACTATGATTTAAAGAACCCCCTTACTGTGCAATTTAACTCGACTATTTTTGGTCATTTCAACACAAAGTGCAACAAATATTACTTTACTGTCAGCATGTTCTGTACGATGAATACAAGTATCTATTGGGATAAAAAAAGAAACACTCACTGTGACATTCAACTTTTTTTTGTTCCCTGTAACTGACACATTATGCTTCACTGCTTCGTCATGATGTTATTGAATATCTGCCGTGTTTTCTCAGAGGTTAACACAACAAACACACTTCAATAACACCATTGTGCGGTCAAATATTAATACGTTTCCTTCTCTGCTTTAATAAATGTACCCTTTATGCCCGAGGCTAGACAGCAAGTGTGAGCGCCAAGCCATGCGGTCTAAACTTTCACAGACTTGGGCTTCCTCTAATATTCATCTGTGCACATGCAGGACCGCAGAGAGTCAGATTTACTGACTGCGGTGCAGAAGTGTTTCCTGTTTTGGGCTCAGCCACATCCACCGAGGTGCCGCAGCCACACTAGTGTCTTATCTTTGCTTTAGGATGGATTGTTGCACACATACAGAAACACTTGTGCCATCAGATTTGTCACAGGTGCCACAGAATCAAATACAATTGGGTATTTGCTGTCTTGGTGCATTCATAATTCTGCTCTACACAGCAAAAACAAAGAAAGAGATACTGGTGGAGTCATTTCAGGAGTCTGAACGCAAGCAAGCGTAAAGCAAACGCTGGATAGGATTAGAAACCTTTCCATATTAAAATGTGGAAGTGGCATTGGTTCAGTCAATATTTACATGTCAATTGTAACAAATATTTGTACCTACCTATTTCCTACAGGGGTGGCAATCACCCGATTACCCAAGAATCCAATATTATTACGATTTCAACCATTTAGTAAATATGGTGCTTATTGCAGTAACATATAATATGGGATGAATTGCAATTTGTTACCTTTTTAGCACTGCGAGTTATGCAGTTTGTCAAAATTCGTTTATCAATATCTAATCTAACTTCTTGCCAATCATGCTACATTTTGAAGAGAATGTAAGATAAAGATTAAACAATACTCCGCACCCATGCATTGATACAATATTGCGACAAAATATATCACAATTTTGTCCACAAAATGTCCTTTTTTCCGTTTATGGTTTGCATAGTGCTTTATTATTTTCAGGGTTCCTGCAGGTTTCACCAACTCAAATTTAAGACTTTTTTAAGACCTTTTTAAGACCACTTTGAATAGAATTTAAGACCTATTTCACAGCAAGAAAGTATGAAGGAAAATTGCTATGAAAGAAGAAATACGTCCCATAATTACTTTCAAAGTAAATGTATTCATGTTTAACATAAGAACGATGACTGAACATAACAGCCTAACAGTACACAGAACTGTGTTAGCCAAAAAGTGTGTGTGTGTGTGTGTGTGTGTGTGTGTGTGTGTGTGTGTGACAAGAGCTATATTCAGAGCTCTGCTGCCTTCATGATGTTGTATGATTGGTGTTTAGCTACGGTATTTAGCGTCCACAGCACCTCCCCTTTAGGGTTGGCGTAGACCCAAACGTCACCCGGAGGTCCCCCGATGTTGTTGCGGGAGCTGCTGCACTAGCTAACGCTACATTAGCAAAACAAACGCTAATTGTGTTTGCAAAAGGTGCAGCGGGCTTCAAACACGTTCCCCTCCACTCGTTTCAACCAAGCACTAAATTCGATGTTTTCCAACCAAATACGGTTGAACTTACACTTCCCCATATTTATTTGCAAGTATATTCGAAGATACCTGAGTTTCTGACTGCCGCTAGCTGAAGCTTGGTTGGTTGCTAGGTTACTAGCTGGGTGTTCTCCGATAAGGGGCCGGGGGAAACAAAGTTAGTGATTACTGGTTCCATGTTGATTTATTTCAATACAAATTGTTGGGGGGAACAGAAAGGCTCTTACCGTACCGGTTACTTTGCAGCCCGGACATTTCCCCCAAAACACATTTAGACGCGATCGCAACACAGAAGTACCTTTCAGATCCGATCATTTTTAAGACCTTCTAAATCATATTTAAGACCTTTCTTATTTTTTTGATCATATTTAAGACCTTACATTCTGATTATCAAATGTAAGACTTTTTAAGACCCCGCGGGAACCCTGTATTTTGTATTTGAATCATGGAAAGAAAAGTGTTAGTGAAGTTGTTGTGGATTTTGTTGGTATCTAGTTCATACGTAACACTATCCACTTCCATAATGCAAACATATTTGTCTTTGTTTTCCACCTCTCTTCTATTTTAAATGCTATTATGAAAGTCTTAAATTCCCAGAAGCTACTTTAATGCTGCCACGACAAAACATTTAACAACCCCATCTCTTAATCTCTGAGTGGGTGATCATCAGCCACACAGGGAGTTCCCTCAGGCTCACAACTGTGTATTCAATTGAGGATAAATAAGCAGATGTAGTAATCATAAGGATGGGGTTGCGTGGGTGTGGTGAGCAGCTACCTGTTGCTGATGAAAACCACATGAGAGACTGTCTCTTAGTGGAAGTCAAGACAAAAATAGATCATAATCACCAATTGGAATAACTCCGATAAATACTGTAAATGTGATTTTCCATCACAACTCATCGTAATAACTTCTCAAAGCAAGAGCAGCAAGTTCAGATCTTTTGAAGGTGTCCATTTTAGACTGAAGTTGTAACCTGAAATGAACCCGTGTTTAGGCGTCAACATGCATTATCCCAACCTGGCCTCATGAACCTCCTGACCCGGTCTAAAGTGGGTCGGACAGAGACTAGATTTAGCAGAAAACGGTGAGCAGGGAGTCGTCAACAACTATAGGATTACTGCTATACCTGTTTTCTCAGCCATTAGAGGGTCTGCTTTCTCAAAATTGTTGCAAGAGACATTTATTGTGCAAACAGTGACACACAGAGACTAACCAGTGTGGAATAAATGATCAGAAACCAGTGTGAGTAATCCCTCTGTGACTTTAGGGAAAGCTAGAAGTGTGGTTTAATTATGCGAGAAGGACAATTGAGCAAAAACAGAGAGAAATGAACTGCCGTCTCACAGCAGATTCTCCTTGATATTTAACTGGTGCATCAGCGTCCCAATCCCCTATTAAACTTGCATGAAAAACACCTTAGTTGTGTTTTAAGTGTTACACATCAGCAAATTGCGTGCTGTGGAAAGCTGGGTTGGTATTCGCCGTGACAAAAGATGGCAATTCTTCTCACATCCTCAGTGTTTTTCACACCTAACCCTCAGATCCTGACACCTGCTTAACACTGGGCGTGAGAATCCTATTTTAGCCAAGATACAGTGATTCATGGAGCCAGCCTCCTGAGTCCTGACAGAGAGCAGCTAAGCATCTTAGCACTCCTGCTAGAAGACAAGTCATGAGTAGTCAAATATGATAAAAGTATGTGGTGGTTAGCTTTAGGACCCCAGGTTGTTAGCTTAATTTATCAATTCCTAGGAGAGCAAACAGCTGACTTGAATGTCAATAACTGTTTTGTTTGATTGGCTAACACAAGATTGAGTCATTCAACTTAAGTCAACACAATGTGACAAATGCAGGTATGTAAATGAAGTGGATTTGGTGCCTGTTTCCGTGTGATCACCCACCTCAACATCCTGCAGGCTGAAGTCGTTCTGGTCTTTGAAGTTGGCGGCCCCGGCGCTCAGCTCCATCAACATCTTGGCGATCTCGGGCTTTATTGCTGCAGTCAGCCGGCTGGCCGCCTCCATGACGTGTTCCTGCACGTCCTTCAGTTGCATAGCTGCTTTGGAATAGTGAGAGTTCCTGAACACACTGCTGAACAGGTCTGTGAGGAAGGCGCTGGCCCGGCAGAACACGTTGAGAGCATCCAGATATTTGGAGATGCCTTGCTGGATGTCTGCAACGGCGGTGGTTGTGCCAGAAGGAGGCGGGTGGCAGCTGCCCGGCATCCCCCCCCCGCCGCCCAGGGGCGAGGAGGCGGAGCACGAGGAGGCCAGCGAGGCGCTCAGGGTCCGGCTCAGCTCAGGCATCTGGTACTGCTGGTGCTGCTGCTGCACTTTCTGCTTGGACCCGCCGAGCAAAAAGCGACGCTTGTAGTCCATTTTACTTTCCTGCGCACTACAACAATACATAGGTGGTGCAACAGCACCGGAAACTTTTTTTGTTCGTTATCTCGGAAAGTTCTCTTGTCCTCTTTACAAAAACACCAAGCTCAGTTCACAGTCCTGAAACTGTTCAAGTTATGTAAAAAGACAGCTCAAGGATTCCACCTGCCAGAGGCTCATCTCAGTGCGCCTGGTAGAGAGAAAGCAGAACTGGGAGAGGTCAGAGGGCGATCAGAAACAGCCCGGCTGCAGATACTTCAGGCCCAGCTTAAAAAACAGCACCTCCAGATTCTCTGTTTCCAGCTTCTAACACAATTATCATAATAGGGGGGGGAAGTCAAGAACAACTTCAAGTGAAACTACAGCCACGTTTTAAAGTGCATTAACTTTCCTTCACAATGGGGGGGGGAATCCTTCGTCATGCAGTACATAGAGTATATACACGTATGCATGTACATATATAAACCTATACCAGCCTGCACTAATAAAAGTAGAAAATCCTTTTAAAAGCAAAAATGAAGCCAAGGAAAATCGGACACTGGTCAACAGCACGGAGGGGAAATGACAGTAATAAAAAAAACAAGTGAGTGACTGCTGGAATCAGAGGATGTGGTTTCTGTGGGAGGCGAAGGGCAGACAGATCCAGTCCGTCTGAAATGCTCTTCAGAAAGCAGGACTCAGTGAGCGAGCGGCTGAGAGCTCCTTCTGCCCGTCTGAGGTCTCCAGCAGCTTCCTGGCTGAGGTAGATATTACTCACCGCGGAAACAAGTGTGCTTCCAGATCTCGCTGGTCCCCGCGGACGCAGATTGGAGCGACAAAAGCACAAATGTATCTGTAAGGCCTCTAGGTCATTTCCTAAGGGAGGGGAAACACAAAGGAGAGGGTTAGCATCATGTCAGAGAGGAAGGACGAGCTTACTTTCAGTGGTTATTGTTACACCACTAAATAATTCAAGTCACGTGACGTCATGATATAAAAAGTCATGTTATTATGGTCTTATGGTTGGAAGAGGATGACATTTAGCCACATGTTCGTGTAATGTTATTTTCCTGTTTGGGAAGGAGCTGTGGTCTAAAGTTGGACATTTCTAGACGATTACTAACAACATACCTCACAGAGAGCGTCTCTGAAAAGGGTTTCTGGCAGTGTCTGGTTTAGCAGAACACAGCTGCACACAGAAATTCCTGCAAGAAGCCATTGTTGGAAGACACTGCGAGGTTTGTTGCACGACGTATGGAGGAGTCACAATACTCTCATTCAACGTCTGAGCATTACACAACTCGCCCTTGTCCCTTTGGCCTTTCTGCTCGATTATGAATGTGATGTTTTACATTGTAAAGATCAAGAATATGGCCTGGTATCTCGCACTTCAAATAATCTCTCTGAAAGACAGTCAAAGGTCAGCTGGTGACTGGAGCTTCACTGAGCACAGTTCATCTCTAAAAAGGGAAAAATATGGCTATAAATAACGATCTGCAATCCTTTACAAAGCAGACAGTGTCAGGAAATGGAAGAAATGTCAACCTTAAATCATTGTTAGGAAAGTATCTTTTCTTTTCCATCCATCCAAAAGAAATACATATATTAGAAAAAGTGGTAAACAAGTCTGCTTTTTGAGAAGTTAAATCTTTTTTGGTTGGGAAAAATTCAATATTCACATGTTATGTTGGACTGTGGGTGAACTGCAAAGATAAGTTAATAAATTGTCATATATTAAATTATTCTCCAATTCAATCAAATGAACTCTTTATCCTCTTATTGTATCTCTTCTTTAGTGTGAATATTTGACCTAATATCTTTGAGATGTGAACAAAATATGACATTTCATCTTGGGCTTTGGTTGTCGAATTCCCCAAACCAAACTATTAATCGTGAAAATAATTGACAGATTAATCAGGAATTAAAACAATTGTTAGTAACAGCCCTAAAACTGTACGGCAATAGGTGTAGCTTTGAAAGAAAACCATTACCTAAACCAGTTCCTTTGCTAAGTTTAGCCCAAGTTTTAGCACTGCAGTTGATACAAACACACTCCTGATAATATTAAACTCAACTGGACGCCCAACATCAACATGTCAGACTAATCTGTGGGAGCAGCCTATCATTCTGGAGAACATTCAGACTGTTATCTTGCAGCACCACGCTGAAAGCTTCTGTGTTTTGGGATGAGTCAGGAAAAGCAACTTGTGTGGGGAAAAATATAGATAACAGCATCCAGCCCTTTGTCATTGTATGCTAAGCGGCTACGCAGTGGACCAACATGTGTAGCTTCCATTATGCATCGCCGCCAACATTCGTCTGACCTTCAAAACCTCGCTTCCTTTCATAAACAGAGGGGGACGCCCAGAAAGAAAAAAGATCAGCCCATCCTCATGCGACTTTGGCCGTTAAAAAGCGGAGGCCGAGGGAAACTAGTGACCTCTTCATGAAGAGAGGACAGAGATGTGCTTCACATGTTTTAACCCTTACATTACGGGGCAGTAGAATATTTGTTATGTTAGGCTCTAAGGACAGAGAGTGTTGTAAGCTGTACAGATTGTAAAGAGAAATGTGTTATTATATATAGGTATATTTTAAAGAAGATCCACAGAGGGTTATCTAGCTATACAGGCACGTGAACGCAGACTTACAGTTGAGACACTTGTATTTACATCGGAAGTCCCTTGTCAGGAAACATAATGTTATCTCTGTTTGAAAAAAACACAATTACAGATAGTACCCATTCACGTTACTAACAACACCAGAAACAACTATATTTCACAATTCTACGACACATCCAGTGTTTCCGTTCACGCGTGATGGCACACGACCAGGTAGCCTTGATTTAATCTTGAATTTAAATCAGTAAAGTAGGAGAGCATTGGGATTTTATCTTGCTAATGGACGCTGCAACAACACTTATTCTCTAAGAGCCTCGTATGGCCACTTGTGTCTCAATCTTTCAGAAATGTCCTAAGCTAGGCTCACCCCAGAGCAATTTTTAAACAAAGTTGGCCATTTCTGCAAAACAGAAGCTGCTGCATAAACTAGTTCAACTATAAATGACAGCAGAGGTTGCTTAACTAGTATATTTGAATTAACTAAGGATGTACCAATCCAATGTGCCAGATATAATAACAACAGATACAATCTTTGATTAGCAGAAAGACGCATCAGCCACGAAGATACGACGGATCCACATTAAATACAGTTTGTTTGTAAAAGTAATGTCCGCTATCAGTTGCATTCAATCAGTCCCAGCATGCACCTCTGATTCATCCCCTGGTGTTGTCCTCGGCAATTAGCAAAGGGACTTAGGTGCCGTTTACTCGAGAACGCAAACGGTTATATCCGCTACTTTTCTCTTTCGTATAGCCCGTTCGTTCACACGAGGCAGTAACGGAAACGGACCCCGCAAACGATAACGGGTCCCAAGGTGGATAGATCTGCAAACGGAACGCTCTGGGGGGCCAAACTGCACCGTGTGTACGCCCTATACGATCATTTCCTGATAACGATGAAGCCATAGCCCCGCCTCTCCCCACCTCTGCTGCTCACTGCTGTAGCATGGTCAGCAGCTACTGTCACTAGCAAAATCTACAGCTCCTCTAACACAACCATCAGCAACAAGTGGACATGGAGAATTACATGAACTACATGTTGCTAAAGCTACCACGGGGCATAAACAGAAGGGCAACCAGGCAACCATGGCAACCATGCTCGGGGTTCTTCTTCGCTGCTTTTGGTGTATTTTGTGGCGGAAGTACAGCGCCACTTACAGGCCCAGCATATGTACTACAGCGTCTCGAGCGCTTTCGAGCGGTCTCGTGTGAATGGAAGACTTTTTTGATATCGTATTCGGTTCGTTTGCGTTTCGTATGCGTTTAAATGGGGTCTTAATCTGCTCACAAACCTCACTCTAGTTCTACTGTAAATTCCTCAAAAAAGTCCACTATCACAGAGAATCAGCACTTTTGAAACAGGGCTGAAACAAGAGGGGATTATGGGATGCTGCAATGATCTGTTTGGTGTTTGGAGCCAAACACTTCAGAGACATGTTTTGTATATATCGGAGAGCTATAAGATATTGATGAAAAACAGTATAATAGGGGACCTTTAAAGGGTGAACTGTGTACTTGTTACTTGAAGGTAGTTTGAGAGCAGCTAACTAGACCTCCAAATCCCAGGGATTACAGCCACAGTGAGCACCAGGTGCTCCACTATGTCTGCCATAGTTGACACGGTTAATAGGATATTCTTTTTCTCTGTGAGGTAAACAGGAAACCTGAGCTCAGCTAGCCTGGGGCTAACCACTCTAGTTCTCACACTGCTGGCCCAAATAACAGGGAAGAGCACATCAATACTGTGCATCAAGTTGTTTGGAAAAAGAAAACAGGTCAGTGACGATGGGGAGAACAACTGGACAACTTTCATTCAACTTGGACCTTTCAAATCACAAAATTTGGTTGCCCTGCAAAACAGTTTTAGGATTTTATATTTGTTCACATTGCATTTCTCACTATTAGGGCTGCACGATTTGGAAAAATTAATGTATTGTAATTATTTTCAGTGACATTGCAATGGCTATATGATGCACACTTATAGGGGATTGCATTTATTTCATTATAATTCTAATAATCATTGAAAGATATATCAAAAGGATTCAGTTGTGATCTTTGAGTTGTAGGCTGGGATGTATTAGCAGCTACACAATACATCATTAAAAAGGGGATTATTAACAAATGTATCCTTTAATAGATATTATGCTTCCTGCATTTTATACCTTGCACTAGTCTATATTGCGATTTACACAATTTCACTTAAATGTGTAGCCCTACTAACTACTGTATTTATTCAGTACTTCTTTGAAACACTTTTCACACATACATTTAGAATAAAATGGAGGACCTGCTCACAGCTGGATATAATTAACACTAATTGTGTGAGACCGCTTCAGGAAGGTCGTGTGGGAGAGTAAAAGTTAAATATTTAATCTTTGAGAAAACATTTAGCTTTTTTGTTAGTTTTAATTAGCAGTGGTATTCGTGAGTCAGTTTGACATCCGTTATCCTTTCTCAGTCCCTGATAGTAAAACAAAAGTGCATAAATGTTGCATATATAAAAATGTAAAAGCCTTAAACTTTGAAGATTAGCAAATAGTATACTTAAAGGTGGGGTATGTAATTTATTTCAGAAACACTTTTTGTTATATTCCATGGAATGCTCTTAACATCCCGATAGCAATGAATATATTAAATGCTTTGACAATAAATACATAAAAAAATGTCATCTGTGGAAGCCGTAGTACTGTAAAAAGCACGACCAATCATTTTAGCCGGCCCGGCTAAAATAACTGGATGGCCTACCTGCCTGTCAGCCTTCCATCTCGTGCCCTCATTGGTCATGTGCGCGTTCGTGTGTGTTGGAGGAGGGGCTCTGTAAGGAAGTCTGAAGGAAGAGGCAGATTTTTTCTGGTTGTGTACTTTCAAATTCTAGCGCACTCGAGCTGGTTTCTCCAAAATTACATACCCCACCTTTAATGATAGACCTACATGATTTTAAAAGGTTTTATTACATGGCTTAGTTGAATACTCGATTCTGATTGGTCAATTCAGAACACGTGACACGCTGTTAATCCAGTAGTACAGACCGCTGTCAAGGACTTATTGACCATTGTTAAGGACGCTCACAACTGCACAAATAAATCCGGTCGATTCAACTGTATACAGTTGGGCCGAAAAGCAAACTGAACTGGGACAAGAAAACAGCGGAGAAGTAACGGGGCAGAAACCCTCCTTTTTACGCAACAGTCCAGACATAGACATCAAACGGCGACACATATTCAGTTGCCAGTTACTTTGGCATTAGGGCAGGGA